CGAGCGCGCCGCTGTCGGCTAGTCGTCGTCGGCGTCGAAGTTGGCGGCAGGTTTGGTACCGAAGCCGTACAATTCCTGCGCCTCCTCGCTGGCCATCGGGCAGCGTCGGTGCCGGCCCACCTGCGGTCCGCCGCAGTCGCCTCCTGGGTCGCTCGCTGGTCCGGACTGTTGGCTGTCGCTGCCCAGCGCGCCTACGCAGCCACGCTCCTCGAGCTCCCCCCTGCCGCCGAGCTCGGCGACGGGCCCATGCCTGCCTTGCATGAGGTTCTTGCCGATGCGCGCTGGGGGTGAAGGCGCGCAGTCCCCCCTTCCCCAAGCTCCCTTCACCCGTAGTGCGCAGGTAGCACAGGGACCCGGACGTCTCGTTTAGCAGCCGTCAAATAGGTGCGGGAAAAAAAAAACAGGGCTTAGGTGATTGGCCACATGGATGGCAACATTGCGCATCGCATATTCGCAATTTCTTCTTTCGCGAGCGCCTCCTCCGGTCGCAGGCTGGCCCACCAGCCGAGGCTTGGTTGCCCGCGGCAGCCTATGCCTTTGCAGGGGAGCACTTCCGGGCCGATTTCCCGATGCGGTTTGACAAACGATAGCTTCGGCGACCGTGCTGTTGCTTGCCACTGCGCTGGGTTGCCGCGAGGCGGGTTTGCTACCCACCCGCTGTTCACCGTGTTGGGGTAAAAGCTCACGGTGCTTCCCACGGTCTCGGGCAGCTGGCGAGGCATTGGTGGAGCATTTGTCTGTTGCCAGTTGCGGTGCATCAGGCAGTCGCCAACACGGCTCCCGGAGGCCGCTGTCGGAATCTCAGCACTGGCTGGGCGGACACTCGCGAAGAAGTCGGTCTTTGTCGCGGCTACATGGTGTAGTGACCGTGTGCTGTTGCCGACCATGGATCCAGTTACCCCCGCGCACGCCTGCAGTCGTAGGCAGGACCACAGACGGGGGTTTGGCTGACCGGATGAAGCCTACGCCCTTGCACATGCATATCGTGCAATCTCGTGCATAAGTCTTGCTTAGAAGCTCACCTTCAACACTTGCGGCGGCAAGGCACTTGGTTGCGGCTATCGTGTACATTCTTTCGGTGTGAACTCATCCGTCGTTAACAACGCGGCCGCACGGCTGCGGCAGCTTTGCGTGTTGCTGAACGTGCCAAAGCTCGGGCATACCCAGAGCTTGCTTCCGGGCGCCGCTGTCGGCTTGTCGTCCTCGGTCGGCATTGAGGTCGGAGGACGCTGGAGTCCCCAAGCCGCTGAGTTTGTCAGACTCCTTGCCCGGAAAAAGGCCCGTGTCGCTCCTCCTGCACAGCGGGCGGCGTGCACTGCCGCGTTTGCGTCTCCTGGCTTTTGCAGCCGCGCGGACATTTGCTGCCAGCCTCCTTTCCCTTCCCTTGTCGGGCACCGCCAACGTTGATGGAGACTTGCCGCTCCTCAACGACGTCGTGGCAGACTCTTCCGAGCAGCTCCCCCTTGCCAGCTGCCTGCCGTAGTCTGTTGCCTGGACTTTGGGCATGTGCACTGGGACTGCGGAGTGGACGGAAGTACAAGAGGTGTGTGGGAAAAAAAGTGAGGGATCTGTCTTGAGTGTAGTTTCGCGGAGCTTGCTCTGATTTTTTCTAACTTCCTAGTCTGTCCCCAACAAGCAGACGTCATGCCAACACGGTCACTGCAAGCATGTGCCTGCCACTTCCGCTCGCCTCGCAAGTCTGCAGTTTGCGCGATTTGCGGTGCCCTTGCTCCAGCACTCTGGCTCGAGCGACCTCTGGCCCGTGTGCTCACAGGCTGGCGGGCGGATCGCTTACTCGTTTGTGCGTGGACAGAGCCTTGACACCGGTCCAATTTTTCGGGCTGCAAACCCAAGGAATTTACGTGCCCCAATGGGGTCTTCACGCGGGCCCAGTTTTGGGAGCCAGTTGCTAGCTTCAAAATGGAGACCAACCGAAGCTTCAAAACGGCAGAATTTTTGAAGGGCTTGTTTCGAGACATGTGCGGAAATCACGCACTTCGAAACCCTATCGATTTCGCGGCCTAGAGCCCGCAGCTCCAGGAATTTCAGGGATTCCAAAGTGCAAGCCGCTGCAGTCAGGAACGCGGCGGCCGCAGGCTGGGCGAGGCGCTGGTGGAACGCTCTTTCCGTCGCGATCCAGCTCGCAGTGGCCAGTACTGCGCTTGGCTGCCCCTGGCCGGCTGCTCTGCAGCAGGGGCCGAGTGACGGCCCTTCCTTGGACCGTATCCTCGACCTTGCAGCCAACGAGGGGCCCAGCCGCCTGCCGCTGCGGCCCTAACCCGGGACCGTGCCGCGTAGCCGTAGTAACACGAGGAGTTGAGACGACCTTCGCAGTCGTAAAAAGGCGTGAAAAAAAAGTGCTTGCACAAAGCGTCGAACCAGGATGTCAGCTTGCGGGCTCGCGGTTTCGTGTGGCCAGTGTGGTACTCGAGATGCTTCGTTTGGCTCGTGTAACCAACGTGGTAGTCGACATGCTTCATGTGGTTCCGTGTGGCCAGCGTGGATGTGGTTTCGTGTGGCCAGTGTGGTAGTTACCCGAGATGTTCATTTGGTTTCGCGTGGCCACGGTGGCATTCGGAGATGCTTCATATGTTTTCGTGTGGCCAGTATGGTACACGAAATGTTTCATGTGGTTTCGTTTGGCCAGTGTGGTGCCCGAGATGTTTCATGAGGTTTCTCATGGCCAGCGAGGTACTCGAGATGTATTTTGTGGTTTCGTGTGGCCAACGTGGTAGTCGACATGTTTCATGTGGTTCCCTGTGGCGAGCGTGGATGTGGTTTCGTGTGGCCAGTGCGGTACACGAGATGTTGCATGTTGTTTCGACTGGCCTGTGTAGTTTTCGAAATGTTGCCAGCGTGCTCTGCGACATAATTCATGTTGCTTCGTGTGGCAAGCGTGGCACTCGAGATTTTTCATGTGTTTTCACGTGTGACGTGTGGCCAGCGTGGTGCCCGAGATATTTCATGCGGTTTCGTATAGCCAGCGTGGTACTCGAGATTTTTCATGTGGTTTCGTGTGGCCACCGTGGATTTCTTGCGGCCAGCGTGACCCTCGAGATGTTTCACGTGGGGCCACCGGACTTTTTTCACACTCCCAACGAAATTGGATCAAGAAAGTACATCGCGCCTCCCTCGCTCGCAAAGGTCTTTCCATCCAGCTCTTCATTCCGGCAAGCCTCCCAAAGCTTTGGCCCTTTGCGCAATCTTGCGCAATCCGTACAACAATCGGCGAAGCCTCCAAACTTTTGAAGGTTCCACCAATCCTTCCCGGGCCTGACAAAGGTGTGCTCATTGTCCATCTTCGCATTCGAGAACGCCGCCGTGATGTCCAACACCAGTCCCGTCCAGCTTGGATTACCAGCAAGGCAGGCTGCGCTCCACCTGATGTGCTCAATGGCAGGGTTGGCGCTCGCGTTATCCGGATCATGATCAACAGTATTCTGCTCATAATTTCCGCACACCACTATCCGCGCTTTTGCCCTCCAAGTACTCAAAGGTTCATTGATGGCCACTTCCGCATTATCTTGAAGAGGTTTCTTAGATAGCACCAACTTGGACGGTAGCACCTTTGCACCCGGTGGCATGTCCGCCTCATCCCATGCATCATAAATCTCCTTTGCCTGAAGCGTTTGCAGCTCAGGCTTCAGTCCCTCATTCACCCACTTCAGCTTCTCATCCGCCGGCGTCTGAGGATCCGAAAGTACTCTCGCATCTATCGTGTCAGTAACCAGCTGAGCAACCTTCACTTCCGCCTTGTTCATTTTTTGCTCAACCTCGTACGACAGGATCTTATAGCGGTCGGCCTGGTCATCCGCCTTCGCCACCCGTTTCTGAGCCATCTGCTTCACAGGTATTGGCTCCTCATCAAGATATTTTCAGCCGAAGCGAATGCCACGAACGGAAACCCTTGCTCTGCATGCTGCCCTTGCTCACGCTCCTCTACAGTAAGCATTCCCAGGTCTACCCCAGGATCTCGGACAACCTCACCATCCCGGACTTGCCCTAGAGAGCTGACCCAGATCTAGCCACCCAGAGGCGTAACATGCGTTCTCCACTGTTCAGGCTTCTAATCAATCACAGCTGGCAAACGTGTTGTGATCAAATGCTGTTGACCAGCACTATTCACCAGCACCAAAGAGCCCTGCACCACAATGTCCGACTGGCACAAGAACTGGCCTGCTTCAACCTTAGGTCCAAAAGGCTCCGTAGTTTGGAGTTTGACAGCAACCAAGTCTCCAGGATCAGGAAGCTTGCCCTGGGGCCTGCAGTTCAGCGTAGCATCCCTCTGTCTCCTCGCCGCTTCAGCCATCATAAGAGGCCAAAACTTCTTGTTCACATTTCCCCGGATGAGGAAGCTACGCGCTCTTTCTTTCATCAATCCCACAATTCTTTCAGCTAGACCATTGGCTTGCGGATCAAACCCTGCAGTAGTAATCTTATACATCCCCAGAGCATTAATCCCTTCAACCACTTGCTGTGCCAGGAATTCGCGTGCTCGGTCGGAATGCACTCTCACCACCTGAAGTCGCTCACCGCACAATGCCGATGCCTGAGCTAAGATACTTTGCAGCGCAGCAAACATCTCACCCCACAACCTTCTCTTCAAAGGCCTCATGAAGTGAAGCTGCGTATGCTCGTCAATCCGAGATACAGCTACTAGCGCATACTTCGTACCATCATAGGCAGCCACATACGGTCCCGCGAGGTCGATCGAGAGGACTCGCTTGGAAATCCGATCAGCAGTCACTTTACGATGCGGGCGGCGCAATCCGCGAGCTTCGTAATCCTTCAAAGTGTGTCCAGGACGCACAGTCGGGGTAGTCAGGTCAATCACTTCTTTCGCAGCGATTTCACAAGCCATGAACCCTTCTAGCTGCAAACCTTCATCATCATCATCATCATCATCTGGGCTTTGCGCGCTAGCCGCGCCTACACCTTGAACATCCCAATCTCCAAAGTTCTGGGTCCTTTGCACGACATGTGTCACACCCTGAACGACATCACAAACACTGAGTAGTTTCGGTTAAGGGACGCTCGGGAATGATGCTGTTGCACTCTGCTTCTAGCCTGCTGCTGCCGTGCTCGATGTTGTTTGCACTGCCTTCGCTGACTCCAAAGCTGACTCGAGGCTTCTGCATTCTCTCATTGTAAAACCCCAGCTCACACAGCTCTCTCAGGACATCCGAGGACACGTTGAGATGGCCGCGTGGCGTGTAGCCAACAGCGACACCCCGCACTCCTTGAAAAGGTTCTGTCCCGTGCATGCGGACCGCGGCATTGAACCTCACGTATTTGTGAGATAGCTCGTGCAGCTTTCCAGGTTTCTGCTGCCCCTCGTTATCGATGTGCCGTATAGCAGTGTTGCCACATTCCCCCGGAAGCCCTTCAGTCCAGAGTTGTCCACCCTGAAACCGGCTCAAGCCCAGTACCACAGACTCTCGCTCCAAAGAGTTGCGATCCCGGTGAGGCCGGAACACCAAGTTGATTGCCATACTCAGTGACAAGAACTCCAGGTCTGGTTCCTGCTGCCGCACTAACTTGCAGAGAAGCTTAACAAGCCATGGATGCCGACGGGTTTCTGAAGTCACTCCCAGCACCCCTCCATGAACAAACAATCCGAAAGTCCACAGAGGCAACGTCTTGGCATCCTCGTTGTCGACTTGCTTCATCCTGTCTGTTCGCCTCTCAACTAAGCTAGCCAGCTGAACCGCGCTCCAGACCTCATCAAAGGTCACCGTGGACTTCGAGCACAGCTCCTCTGCTCTCTTCTCGCCGGCATCTGTTACCGATGCCGCTTGGGCTGCTGCACTCTCCTCCTGAACCTTTCCCACGGCTTCCACTGTAGGCATGTAATCCCGGATTTGTATAACACCATCTTCTATCTTCATGACGCCGGCATTCCCCTTACTCTTCCAGTCTCTCGCCAACAGCACTCTGATTGGTTTGAAGTCTTCCGTTCTGCGCAAAGCAATGCACAGTCAGAGTCGTCTCACCATCATGGTACATCACCCGGGGCCCCAACTCATCCCAAACAAGCGCTCCTCGAGTCCCTCTCAATCGCCTCCAATCAGCGTCCTTGTCGGATTCCTCTTCTCCAACCAGGTCACCCAATGCAAGCGCAACATGGGTGTGCTTGCATCTGGAGTCCATAAACCCTTCAGGACGAGGTCTAATCACCTCGTTGGCACCTGAGTTAACCAGTACATCCTGCTCAGATTGGTTACCAATGCCCGCGGTTCTTGGCGACCAAGTGGCTGAGCGAAGGCTCGGAGGCCGGAGCTCAGGAAACGCATGGTGGCAAACGGAAGACCTAGGCTCAAAAATGTCACTGTTGGCGCTGCAGGTCTACAGCTTCGGAATCGTGCTTTTCGAACTGCTGACACGGGCGGAGTGGTTTGCTCAATTGTTTCTCACTGTTTGTATTTCCCCGGTGCCGCCGCCCAGGATTTCGCGACATGGTCCACCTGATACATGTCAGGTTGCCAGGTGTCAAGTCGAGGCTCGGGCCTAAAGTATGTGTTGGAAGCACTTGTCGCACACATCTCACCCACCGCATTCCGGAGGCGATGTGGCCAGAAGACGTCGCGCAGCCACTTGTCCGCTTGGCCCTGGCTTGCACCGCGGCACATGGCACTGAAGACGCCCTGCCCTCAGCTGTTCAGGTTGTTCGTTTGCCAACATAGACTGCGGCTTACAGGTGGGACGACCCAGTTTCGTGGACGTTGTTTCGGGCTCAAGGAGTCGCAAAAGCTCAGCCGCCAAACAAACTTCTTGCGCATACAGGTCTCTGCCCTTCGTGGTTGCCATCAGCCCCCAGTCGCCGCTCGACTCATGACTGGTTGGTGGATCTATTTCTTCGTGAAGGACGTGCGTGTGTTTACTGTATTGTGTTGGAGGTAGCTGCAAAGACAGCTCCGGGCACAACGCCGACACCTTCCGAGTTGAAGCCCTGGCTGTGCGCAGCGGATTTCGGTTCCAATACTTTTGGTTTCCTGCGTTGAGGCCCAGCGACCCAGCGCCGGAGGTGCCGGAGGTGCCGCTAGTGAGCAAGGCCCGGCAGGCGCAGGCCATGGCAAAGTTCGTGACGCGCGTGCGGGCCCAAGGGCTGTGACAACGTCGTGAAAAAAGTGTGAGCTGGAGCAGTTGAAATTTCACATGTGCCGCAAGAGACTCGTTTCCAGACGGTAGACACCTTTGTTTGGCTACCTGGTAGCAAGACTTTGGGATATTTCTCCGAACCATCGATTGAAGGGTTGAGCCATACTCAAAACATCTCAAAGCTGCATTTGCACATTTCATGCAAGTTACGGGGTGAGTCAGGTGAGTGGGTCAGACAAGACGAGGGGGCCATCTCGACAGTTCCTCCAAAAGCCCTTGGCTCTAAGAACATCACGCAACATACTCTGAGCGCCCATGTTAGGCATACACTGCATACAGATTCAAGCCCAAAGCCAGGACAATCTTTGGAGCGAAAATCCACATGCGCTCCAAGCAGATCAACAAACCCTCTCAGAAAAGGGGACTCATGTACGAGTTTCTAGTTCCGCATCACATCTCGACTCTCGATGTCATATAAGAAATCAGAACTGGTTTCATCGTGCCAGCACGCTGTAGCCGCATGGAGCTGGGCATCACTTTTGGTGCGTGCTACAGTGCTACAGGCTGCGGGGTAGGGGCCTTCCCTTCAGGCTACGGAAGGGTTTTTCGACATCAAGCTTGAGTGTCCTACTGTCAGAAGTGGACGTCGAAGAAACATGTCAATTTTCGCACACTGTCTTATTACATGTACCTGCCCATCAACTGTCACCAGTCACCCGGTCAGAGGATTCTAATCTCTGAATCATGCGAATGAATGTTGGAAACAAACCAAACTGGAGGTGTTTCGCTTGGTGTCAGCAGCGCAACTGCAGCCGCTTCCGCCGCGGCTAGCGCTGCCGCCGCTGGTGCTGGAAGTGCCACAGGTGTGACTGTGGTCACCGCCAGTGCTGCTGCGGCTGGTGGCAGTGTGCTACTGGCAGTAGACGCCTGGATTGAACGAACGGCATTTACGGAAACTGCTTTAAGACTTTAAGACATCTAGCTTGGATGTGAGGCTGCGCCTGTGTTATTGGCTGCTGGTGCAGCTGGCTCGGCTGCGTACTGGCCATTGGCTTAAGAAGCCTTGCGAGTTGTTTGCGAGAAGCAGTCTCTGTGGCGTGCTGCGCAGTCGAGTGCACTCAGGTTTGGAGCTTTTGAAACTTCAAAAGCGTCTGAGGCGCTGTGCAGATCATGTCATGTGAGCTATACAAGCTCGAATACCCATCACCGTCAGCGGTCAGCATTTCCGCTGTAGTCTTTTCCACCGCTTTTCTGGTGCAGGTCGACGCAGGGAATCAGCCAGATTCAGAGCAACAGCACCTCAACAAAAATGTGAGTGTTTCCTAGCTTTTCCTTGCTCTTGACATTGCCTCGGTAGGACCGGTAGGACGCTTCCGGGCTTTGCAATTCTGTTTTCTTCGAGATGTTTGACTCTTGCGCGTGACATTTCCATCCATTTGTCTTTCGGCACAAACGGCCATCTTGGCCGTTGCACGTGATTGAATCCGCAAATGTTTGTTTGACTAATTTTTTCTGCAAGTTGGAGGATGCTTGCGCAGACCTGCTTTTGAAGTCCTAGACAGAATTAAAAACGCAACGCGAGTCGAATGCTTTAGATGAGGTCGATGGCTGAATTCGTTGGATGAACCTAGAAGTCATATGAAGTCATGAGACCTCCGTGTTCCGAAAAGAAATTTATATATTCGTGTGCTGAGAAAACTTCGGACGGAAGACTGTGCCATTTGCCAGGCGCCTGTGAGAGTGGCTGCGTAGGAACCTCGCGCGTGAGCTCGGCGGCATTTGCTTGCCATCAAAAGCTCCACACTGCCGAGGTTATCCCTCTCCGAAGACGTCACCATCAAGGCAGTCTGCAATGTGCCGTTTGGGTCACTAGAAAATAGATTGTGCCAAAGAGTTTGAAACAAGCTATCCACACTGTTTTGAGAAGTAAGACTGTGTGAGACGAAAACGAACTCACCATGCACTTCATGGGCGTGGAAGAGAGCATGCAGTCGCCGAAACCAACAGCAGCAGGTTGAAGACGAGCCTCGTGCTGCCAGTCACCGGTGGTGCGGTAGATCCGCAAAAAGTTGCATCAAAAGTTGAGCAGAAATGTTGAGAATGATGCGAAATGGAAACCTGTTCCAAGATAGCCTGGATCTGGACAGGCGTTGCGCAATTTCTCCGAGTCCGAAGTCCAGGAGGCTAGTTCATGGCGCAATGTTGTGCTCGCCCCCTTCGAAGAACCTACCAGTGCAGGCAACGCATGGCTGGGCCACCCGGTTGGGTCTCGAACTCAAGATCAAGACTCTCAGGTGGCTCAGTTCACACTTCGCAAGTTGGATTTGTGAAGGTGGGGGCTACAATGGCTCCGTCTATGCAGGCAGGCTGAAGGGCACGGACATTGCCGTCAAGGCGTGGCGGTCGAGGTGATGCAAGCGCGAACAGTGGCTATCTCGTCTCGTTGTCGAAAAGTATTGCCAGCAGGTCTCGGACCAGGAAGGTTTTCTGACAGAGATCAAGGTTGGCCGTTAGGCGCCCAGCATGGACAACCAAGTCACGACCATTCTGTGAGGCCTTGGGACGACTGCGACATCCCAATGTGATAACGCTAATTGGCCGGGCAGTCAGGAAAGGGCTCTGCCGCGTCTGCAGTTTACGTGAGCTGTTTCTGCTGCCCAGGAATCTCGCGCCCTACCTGCCTGATTTTGGAGTTGGCGAGCTCCGATTTGAGATCTAGGTCAGATTCACCTTGCGCATTTTTCGTGGAGAATATCTCAGGCGACCCCAATTCAGAACATGGTCTCACTTGCAGGCTTTACGCCAGAACGAAGCCCGACCTCCTCTGGCAAGAGCGCGCGCGTGACTCAGATTAAGGTGATTCTGTATATTGCAGGGCGCAACATGTCAGGTTCGGATGGCCTACGAGACGGCCACTGCGCTCGCCTTCATCCACAGCGGCTCGCCGAAGGCAGGCGTAACGTTCACCACGAAGCCGCGCAAGTACCTGCCGCATCGAAGAAGACGCAAGCCAGACTTTTGCTGAGAGCATTCAAGTTTTAGACTTGGGCATGAATAACTAAGACTGACTCAGCGGTTTTGGGGCAAAGCAGGGAATTCCACGGGGTCCGAGCTCCTGCAGCACCTGGCGGCCAGATCTACCATCGGGACATCAAGCTCGGGAACATCTTGATCGATTTCAAGAATACGGCCAAGCTTGCGGACTTCGGTCGGCAGCTCGCCGTTTCAACATTTACCGCGTTGTGACCCGTCGTGCTTCTGAGGCATGGCGCTGGTCTCCTGCAAGCCTCTTCTCCAATGCGCAGCTGTGGGAGCGGTTTCCCGACAAGTGAAGATGGCAGGTTGCACACTGGTTTGTCTCCTTTGTGTTTGAGTTTGGTCCTAGCAGCTGTGATGCAAGATGTTCGCATGTCTCTGTACGGCTCGTTGTGATGTCTTCTGTTTGTGTTACAGGGAAGTGGCTTTGCGATGCTGCACTTGACGCTTCCTGCTCGCATCTGGTTTGCTTCCGATATGAACTGACATACAATGCTCGCCAAATCTGCAACCTCCCCCAAGCCTCTGCCCCAACCTCTACCTCCGCAACCCCCCAAACCCCCAAACCTCCCCTTCAACCCCAACCGCCCCAACCTCCCCTACCACCCCCAAAGCTCCCAACCCCAAACCTCCTCTCCTCCCCCAACCTCCCCCCAAACCTCTCCAAACCCTCTCCCCAACCTCCCCCAACCGGTTCCCCAACCTCCCTCAACCTCCCCCAAAGCCCCAACCTCCCCTACCCAACCCCCAACCT